GATGACGGGGGGAACACATCGTCGACCATCCCGCGATGTGAGTGCTCCATGCCGGATGTGCGGTTCTCACAGCGCTCGGTTCGCAGAGCACTCCTCTCCCTTGACATCCACAAGTCGAGTGGGCCTGACGGAATCCCCCCAATTGTTTTGAGGACGTGTGCTCCGGTGTTGGCACCGGTTCTAACGCGTCTTTTCCGGTACTCCTACTCCCTAGGCGTAGTCCCGAAATCATGGAAGACAGCTTTTGTCCACCCGATCCCTAAAAAAGGCGACCGCTCAGACCCGTCCAACTACAGGCCTATTGCCATCACCTCCTTGTTCTCCAAAATAATGGAATCCGTTATAAACTGCCACCTCATGCGGTACCTTGAGGATCACCAGCTGATTAGTGACCGCCAGTACGGTTTTCGTCGGGATCGATCAGCTGGTGATCTTCTGGTCTACTTAATTCATAGATGGGCGTAGGCAGTTCAGTCCAAGGGGGAGGCATTGGCCGTTAGTTTGGACATTGCGAAGGCCTTCGATCGGGTTTGGCCCAAAGCGCTTCTTTCGAAGCTCCCTTCCTATGGGCTTCCCGAGAAATTATGCAATTGGATCACCAGCTTTCTTGCAGATCGGAGCATCAAGGTCGTTGTAGACGGTGCATCCTCCGACTACAAGCCTATTAACGCTGGTGTTCCACAAGGCTGCGTGCTATCACCAACGCTGTTTCTTCTGCATATCAATGATATGTTGCAAGCCGGTAGCATTCATTGCTATGCGGATGACAGCACTGGTGATGCTCTATACACCGACCGTGCCAATATTTCTCGGGAAAACGTCACCGAGTACCGGAACAAACTTGTGTCTGAAGTTGAGTCTTTGCTGGACAAAGTCTCGGATTGGGGGCGACTAAATCTAGTCCAGTTTAATCCTCAGAAGACACAAGTTTGCGCGTTTAAGAACCCCTTTGTCGTATCTCCTCAGTTTCAAGGTACTCCCCTTGTTGCCTCAGCCAGTATCGGAATCCTCGGCGTCGACATATCGAGTGACGTGCAGTTTTATGGTCACTTGAAATAGAAGGCCAAATTGGCCTCTAAAAAGCTTGGCGTGCTCAGCTGAGCGGGACAGTATTTCATGCCGGCTCAACGGCTGCAACTTTACAAGGCGCAGGTTCCGCCTCACATGGAATACTGTTCCCATCTCTGGGCAGGGGCTCCCCAGTGCCAGCTCCTTCCACTTGACCGCATCCAGCGCAGAGCGGCTCGAATCGTCGACGACCGAGTCCTTTCCGATCGGCTCGACTCATTGGCACTGCGAAGAGATGTTGCATCTCTTTGCATTTTCTTTCGGATTTACCATGGGGAGTGCTCTGAGGAATTGTTCGGATTAATCCCAGCCGCCAAATTTCACGAAAGCACATCGCGGCAGAACTCCCGATACCATCCACACCATCTGGATGATTGGTGGTCCACCACTGTGCGATTTAGAAGATGTTTTATTCCTCGCACAACTTCCTTGTGGAATAGTTTACCACCAGCGATTTTCCCGGACCGATACGACTTTGGAACCTTCAAGAAAAGAGCCTATTCCTTTTTAAAAGGCCGGCAAAGCATCTGCAATTCCCCTGGTGTTGCGGTTGTTCATGGGCGGCGGTAGTCACTTACCATCAGGTGAGCCGCATGCTCGTTTGCCCCCTCTCCTATAAAAAAAATATATTAATTTTAAAAGACTACAAGCTGTTAAAAAAATTACTTTGAAGACTGAAAGACAGCTTAGCTGGAAAAAACTATGTGAAACTTTTAATAGATCTACTCCATTGACTAGAGTATGGAATTACATTAGAAAGTTTAACAAAACTTTTGTTCATAATAACACATCTGTCATAGATTCTAATTGGGCTAATGAGTTTTTGAAAAAATATACTCCAGAAACAGATGAAACACCTCTAACCCCTCACTCCTCAAATGATAATCATTGTGATTATCTAACCAAACCTTTTACCTTGACCGAATTCAATTCAGCTGTTAACTCTAGAAAAGACACTACTTGTGGTTTAGATTCTGTTCCATATAAAGCTTTAAAAAATATGAATACTGCGTGTAGAGAACTAGTTTTGAAAATATATAATATGTTATGGTTTCATTCACTTATTCCTAACGATTGGAAAGAAGATTGTTTGATACCCATTTTAAAGCCTGGAAAAAAACCTCACATTGCAGAATCTTATAGACCTATAGCACTTACATCTTGTATGGGTAAAATATTTGAGCAACTTATAAAATCTAGATTAGAACTTTATCTAGAAAAAAAATTGTCTTTTACCATCAAATCAGTTTGGATTCAGACGCCGTAAGTCATCTAGAGAAAGTATTGCATTTCTACATTTAGACATCTTTAAAGCTATGGAAAATAAAGAAGTATTAATTAGTATATTCATTGACATTGTTGGTGCATTTAATAACGTTAATCTTCATGTACTCGCCGCAGAGTTGAGGTCTTTGGCCATTCCTGAAAAAATTTTAAAATGGATATTTAACTTTTTACATGAAAGAAGAGTTTTTGCTAAAGTTAATAATAATAATAATACAATTATTGGTCCTAGGCTCAGTTATAAAGGTGTTTGTCAAGGAGGAATATTATGTTCTCTTATCTTTATTTTATACATATTTAAATTAAACAATATTTTAGGATCAAATGTTACTAATTTACAATATGCAGATGATTTGGTCATATATGCCTCAGGAACAAATGTCAAAAACTTGGTAACCACTTTAAATGAGGCTTTAAAGAAATTGCACATTTACTTTTAAAAAAATAAAATTCGTCCATTTAACACTAGAATAATTTATAATAATACATTTTTACCAATAGAAAGTTGTGCAAAATTCGCAGGTGTAATTTTTACAAATAATTTATCTTGGACCAAATACGTGAATTCTATTTCAGACAGAGCTTCTAAGGCCTTTAATGTATTAAAAGCTTTGGCTAGTACTAACTGGGGAGTTGATCCAGAAATATTATTAATGTTATATAAGTCTTTGGTGAGGAGCCATTTTGAGTACGGCTTTCTTTGTTTTGCATCAAATAAAAAACTAGTAAACAAATTAGAAAATGTACAAAATAAGAATTTAAGACTTATTACCGGCTCTATGAGAACAACTCCTATTGTTTCTTTACAGGCTGAATGTCTTACTCCTCCTATCTTACTTAGGTTTAAATATCTGAAATTTAGGTTTTTATTAAATATTAATTCTTTGTCTCATCATCCTCTTTTTCAAAAAGTATTATTTTACTATAATAGTATGTGTCCTATATCTAACTCAGCCCCATATATACTCCATGACTTTCATGAAGTGATACGATATGATGAACAATATAATATTCACAAAAGCACACATACTTGGCCTTGTTATAAGGAGAATTATGAAAGTAAATTCAGTGATATACACATAAATATTGATATCACTGAATATCAATATTTATGACATATGATGAATATCGACAAATTTACACAGATGGTTCAAAAGTTGAAAATAAAGTAGCCTGTGCATTTTACATACCTCATCTGAAAACTGGACGTGGCCTTTCCATTCTTGCATTAGCAAGCATATACACTGCGGAATGTTATGCTGTCCTAATCGCTCTTAAATATATAGAAGAACACCCACATGTATCTAATAAATGGTTACTGATCTCTGATAGCATGAGTGTCTTGAAGGCACTGAAGGCAAGAGCTTTAGATGCTAAAACGTCTTTCATCATATATGAAATCAAAAGTTTGTGGTGGAAATTAAAAGAAAATAATTTGGAAGTAAAATTTTTATGGACTCCATCACATATTGGGAAATGAAAGAGCAGACCATTTAGCTAAAAGTATAGTTACAGCTGATATTGACAGAATAACCGATGTTGCAATACCACATACAGATTTATATTCAATTTTAAAGCAAAAGTTAAAAGAAGAATGGAAAATGCAATGGAATGCTGTTTTAGAGGCAGGAAAAGGTCGTTGGTATGCATCAATTAATTCAGAATTAAGTATTCCTTAGATTTCTCGCAACGATATGCGAAGATATCATAGCAGAAAATTTTATACAATAATGTGCAGACTTAGATTTGGTCACTATCGACTGAACGCTCATCTTTCCAGGATGAGAATAGTAGCATCTGCAACATGCGATTTCTGCGATACAGAAGCAGATCAGACTGCAGAACTTATAATATTTAACTGCCCAGCTTACGCCATAGAAAGATTGCTACTCATTGAAAAACTTATACAAGTTTATGAAAACTCAGAAAGCGTCCCGCGTGCCCTGCAAGATGTTCTTAGGAATACTAAGACATATTTAGCACTAAAGTGTTGCGATTTTGTGTATTAAGTGTCTACGCATGTGAACTATTAGTGGAAACAGTGAAACAAGTGCTCTGATGGTGATGGATTCTCAAGATAAGCTGTTTGTTTGCATAGGCACCTTTAGATACCATCGCCAACTATCAGCTGTCTGCTGGATCAAGTTGCCGCCAAAATCTCCCAAGAACTGCACAATGTGACGCATCAACATATTGTGAAGCAGTATACTATGAAGGAGTGGGGAAATTACAATAAACCGAATAAAAATACTTAAGACTTGGTCTAAAGGTCTAGATACCAGGCCATAAACTCCAAAAAAAAAATTGGATTGACAAATCTACATGGATTGAAACTTACTTATAATATGAAGAAGACTTGGCTTTAGCTTTTACGGGTTTTTGAAAATATGAAGAATTAAAGAAAATAAGACTTGACTACGGCTATGGATATTGAAGAGATGGAAAGAAGAAAAATAAGACTTGGTTCCGGCCTTTACACTCTAAAATTTTATATATTCAAAATAAAAAAGACAAGGCTGTATGGCTTAGTTCCTTTGCCTGCTGTCCCGAGCGAATAATAAAAACAACAACAAGAACATCACGTCAATGTCAAATTGACTCAAGATCACTCAAGATTAGAAGTCGGGATCTTCCTTATATATCACTATACTCTTTAGTCGGGATTCGGGTGTAGCTTGCTACATATATATTTATCTATGTTCGGGTGGTGTAAAAGCTAGTAAGGTGATTGCAATTGCAAATTCGATTAAAATATTAATCTGTTAGTGTCCATATACCGTGTTTGTTTCTCCTAGCAACAGCTCGGAATATTAGAGGTGAGTTTTAGTAGGTAAGAAAATACTATTATAGGTTAACCGGAATGCTATACGCGTGATAAGCTTTATCTATATGAGATTTTATTTGATATGCGTCCGATTGTGTAAGCCGGCTATACCGTCCACTGATTGCTGGATAAAGATAATTAATTGTCAGTTAATTTGCATAGTCACTGACCGCGGTTACGGTTGTGTTGCTTATTGTCTTGTGTGTATCTTTTAATAAATTAGGTTTTTGAGGTTTCATAATAATTATCTACCAATATTTCTTGTGAAAACCAAACTCCACACATATATTCCTAATAAATGCAGTAAAACATGTTAAAATTAAGCTATAGTCCCCTCATTTTTATGGTCTTTTAAATAATAATCCAAAATAATATGTATTTTTCATGTACTGACTTATTTATTTTTCTTATTAACTGATAGTTTTCCTCAGGCAATCGTCAGTTTATTAATTATTTTAACAGAATCAAATCTTTAAAAAAATTCATAATAAGGTGTTTCTCCACTTTTCATACATTATACTGTAAACCAACTTGGTGGGATCTTACATTAATTTCGATCAGAATTGGTTTTAATTTGGTTAAGGCTTAGAATCAAGTCGCTTTAATAGGGGAGGGGTAGATTCGCCGCCACCTTTTTCCCCCTGCTGGATGTGCCTATTTTTTTTCTATATTAAATGTTGAAGATTAAAAATTTTATTGAATGATTTCTGAGAAAAATCACTTTAATAGGGAGGGGCGGCGTCCCCCCACTGCCGAAGTAATACCAAAGTGTAGTCGACGGAGCCCCGTCGGGCTCCTATATCTGGATGGTTTATAAAAAAATAACCACATAGGGGATGGAGGCCATCCCTTTCTGACCTAACTTGACCGAGTCGGGGTGCCCCAAGTACCGAGCTTGCTTTGCTTGCTCTTGCACCAAATAAAACATCAAAATGTTAACTTTGATAATTACTTTAATAAGTAAACATATTTTATTACTTTTACCATTTCCAAAAACGTCGTAAAATAGCAAGCAAAAGTTCTCCAGATGGGTAGCGAAGTCATCGAAAAAAAGGACGCAGTGCAAGCAAGTGCTCGGCGATGAAGGAAAACATAGTGAGGAAACGTGCATGTCTGAGAAATAAGAAAAAATATTTCAAAGATATGTGAAGTTCGCCAACATGCATTGGGGCAGCGCAGCGGACTTTTCCGTGCCCTAAAACCCTCTCAGAAATTAAAGGAGACCTGTGCCCAGCAGTGGGACGTATATAGGCTGTAACTTTAACTTTTTAACTTTGGTGTTCCTGATCAGGATACTAGGATAAAGGTATTAAATTATCATATTGTCATTGGTCCTTGATACGAGTGCAAATTTTGAAGTCAATCGGCCATCTACAAGTTGGTGAAAATTACATTAAAAGATTTGTAATGGAATCTTTTAATGTAATTTTTTAGATATGTAGATAGATACATGTGAAGCTAATAAAAGTGTGTTAATAAAATGTATAAATAGAATTTGAATCTTTTCTGAAATTAACTAATGCATCATCTATTATTTTTAGAAATAACAGCGTTGAAAAGGTATATCTTCAAGTAATTCATGATTAAATATTAAAAACTATCGAACCGCCATGTCTTCGCCTGGGTAAGATCTATTAATGTGGCGTTATTTAGTTTTAAGATAATCACAGTATTTCTTTTATTTTATAACTTTTTCGTTTTTCTAAAAAAAATTCAGATATAATATTGTTTAAAATGTAGTATATAGTTAGACGTAGTATATAGTAGATAGTGTGAAAAACGAGCCCACAGTCCACCTGATGGTAAGTGGTTGCTGTGGCCCATAGCCATCTACATCTATCCTCGTTTGTGAATCAAAATGTTTTAACAGTGGTAGAGCCACGTGGCAGCTTTTGCTGTCACACGGATGGGCCGGCTCGAGCCGGGGTGGTACCACAACCTCACAGAATACCAGCATGAAGTAGAGGTTTACCTCTGCATTTCGCTTGGTGAGTGCAGGTGGCCGGAGGCCCTTTTTACTGGAAATGAGGCATTCCATCCTAGTCCTCACTGGTGAAAACGCATTTGCATTTTGATTTTTAATAGAGGATAGATGTAGATGTCTATGGGCCGCAGCAACCACTTACCATCAGGTGGACTGTGTGCTCGTTTGTCACCCTTATACTATAAAAAAAAAAGATGCGTTGTCACCTGTGAGGACTAAGATGGAATGCCTCGTTTCCAGTAAAAAGGGTCTCCGGTTCTCTACAGTCACCAAACGAAACAGCAGTGTTAAGCTGCTATTTTATGCTGGTATTCTGTGAGAGCGTGGTCCTACCTCGGTCGAGCCGACCCATTTGTGCTACAACTATACTACTAATATAGCTGCAGCATGGCTCTACCATGTATGATTTTATTTCAATAATATAGACAGACTTCAATTTTATTTATTACTAGACGTTTCCTGCGACTTCTCCCTCGTGGAATTTATTACGATTGGATTTCATGGGTTTCAATTATTTTTATGCGCGAAACCCCAATTTTTTTTCTAAAATAAAGTAGTCAGAGTTACTTCTTATAACATCACCTATCTAGAAGTGAAAGTCCCGTCATAATTGCTCCAGCCGTTTCAGAGATTAGCCTGAACAATCATACGGACAAAAATTTTAAAATTGTTTTTTTTTTGTTATTAGTACCATATATACTTTCAATTTTACTTTCGCTTTCACTTCAATTTTATTTTTATAGAAGATATGTATAATATAGATACCAGCATTTGCAATCTTTTTCATTGGCTGCAACTAAACTAAACTAAAAACATAGAGGTGTAAATTTTCTTATATCAACAGTATGTCTTATTGATCCACTCAAAGTTGCACCGGTTTCAAGTGGGTCACTCAACTTGACTTCATTCTTTAGTATATCATATTATACTGCGCGTCCCCCTACTAGATGGAGTGACGACCTGGTAAGACTTGCAGGAAGTCGATGGATGCAGGTGGCTCAGGACCGTGCATTGTGGCATTCCTTGGGAGAGGCCTATGTTCATCAGTGGACTTGTGAAGGGCTGTAATGATGATGATGATGACTGAAGCGATAAAACAAAGAACCGGACCGCAGTGATGTAATTAATATAAGATATTTCATAAACAAATGATATAGTTTTCAAATGTAGATTCACAATTGGACCCGGTAGATGGCGCTGTTGTCAAGATAAATAAATCACCCGTGCGAAGCCGGGGCGGATCGCTAGTACGCAATAAACATATTATTTTTTAGGTTGTAAGTTTCAGGTTTTATTTCGGCCATATTTATTTTATGCTCACGTCATAAATTGCGCGGGTATTTGTTACCCGCGAAATGTATGCTAATGAAATAAAATTTGTTTTATGAAATCCGATCTGAGGACTAGTTAATGGAATTATGAGCGAACATAATATGTGTACGAAACATTTTGCCCTCCATTTTTCATAAATCAGAAAAGTGAGAAATCTATAAAAATCAACTGTTCTTTTACTTTATTTTCTGTTTTGCGAGGATTTCTATACAGCCTAACAAAATTCCACTGCTGTACATAGGCCTCTCCCATTAATTGTCTCATCGGGGATTGGACCCGGGTTGCTCAAATTTACAGCATTTGTGAATGAATTAAACATTCACAAGAGAACACCCGCATCTAAATATAAATGCACTTTAGAAGGAAATATCAATGCACTTTAGAGAAAATATCAATGTTAATTTGAGATTTATAAAGGTCTGTGTAAATAAAGCAGAAATCAAGGTCAGACCCATGAAGCAAATACAAAGAGGAGACGTTGTAATTAAATTTCACTATGTAACAACGCGTGAAAATTTGCGGGGTGAGGGGATGCAAAGCCCCGCCCACTTTACACTATGTACATCTACCGATAAATAGTAAAACTACTCGAATCTTTCCATATCGATGTTTCAATGTAGCTTAGCTACCTTGGCGGTAGATGGCGGCATGTCCACAAAATGTTATAAACTATAAAAATAATGTTTTGCGATTAAAATTTCTTTATATCTGAATGCAAAACAAATTTCAGCACCTTCGTATGATTATTTTACCAATACTGAGCTCTACGGACCTTTATATTTTTAGTTCACATGACACAAAGTGTCGCCATCTAGTGTCGAATATATTTAATTATATTTGAAAGCCGACGCAAAGAGATTTTTCTAGAACTATTTTGATAAATTAGGAGTAAAATTATTTACAAATGAAATGTGATGCCATCCATAACATCAGAGCGTCTATCTGAGTAGTTTTTACACAATAAAACACAACACTTCATCCTTTTCTTCTTAATACTACGAAAATACACCGATTTGCGATTTTTTCAACACACAGGACACGCACAGGACGAATGCTGACAGTATACTAACTAAAGCCACGCCCACTATGATGACGTCAGGACCTACTTAGAATCACAGTGCACAGTTGCTTATGCTGTCTCCCCTTTGTATTAGCTTCATGGTCAGACCCCATCCACCAGAAACTGGCGTGACTCATTCGCGAATTATTAAAAAAAAATCGTCGACAACAGGCGGCGCGTCGTGTCGCTCTCATGCTACTCTCCCCCGACCCCAGATATTTGATAACCTACAGACCCCTTCAATGTCGAGCCAATGTCGCCGCGTCCTCTGCGCGATATGCCCAGGAAGTGCCTTTCGTGAAAAACTATTCCACGTTCATGACAACCTGGTACTGTTGTAGTTTTTATGACCTTTCTCCTGTTATTCAAATGATTTTTTTTTAGGGAATAAGGGTGACAAACGAGCATACAGTCCACTTGGTGATAAGTGGATGCTGTGGTCCATAGATATCTATGTTTATCCTAGATAAAGAATCAAAATGCAGATGCGTTGTCACCCCTGAGGACTACGATGATATGCCTCTTTTCCAGTAAAAAAGGGTCTCCGGTTCTCTACACTCACTATACGAAACACAGCAGCATTAAGCTGGTATTTTACGCTGGTATTCTGTGAGAG